GGCTTTCCGGGCGATAAGCGGGGGTTGGTGGAGCGGGGAGGGAGGGGCGGGGAGGGCAGAGACGCCACGCAGACATGAATGCTGCGCTCGTGCCCGCCACAACCACTCACAGTTCGACACACACTAATGAGAGAAAGCGACCACGAGAATTGAATTTAGTCTTAAACCACCACATCTCATTAACTAACATTCGTCCATGTTTTATTTATTCTTAACTGTGTATACTTAGGTAATTAATGTTTCTAAAAATTCGAATTATTTTAGCATATGAAGTGAAATTTCAGAACTTTATTAAATTTTTTTTGACATGATGTTAAAGTGTTTCAATCAAAATAAAATTAATAACGAACACAAAATCAATGAATGCTATCCAATATGTATATAATGTAAAATAAGAATGGGCCACAAGTTATATAAAAAATCAAATAATCAAATATGTAAAGTATATTTGCATTATTCGATGAATTGACCTTCCCTGTTTTAAAAACCATCGAAAAAATAGTTTTTTATGTATCATATCATTCAACTGCGAGACGATGTTTTTTTCCATGTCATGCAGTGCCATTTTCTCCTGTCATATATTGTCATATTATGCGGAGTTTTGAAATAATTGATTTTATATTGAAATCCTAAGTTGTATGCAATTCCCAAAATATGTTCGAAGAAGAAAATTTTGCAGGAAGAGAATGGTTAAAACTGAAATGGCATTACTTTGTCGATGGAACACGAAAATAACGAATGATTTTCTTTTCTTCTGTTGGGGTATATAAATGAATTCCTCTTAAAGTTGATAGTAAGGACGACCTTCGCTTTGTATTATGTAATATCCAGTTCCCTGGTTTTCACTTGTTCTTTGAATGGCATCTGGTATTGTTTAATTAATATTTAATTGATGACTAAGCACCACCTTAAACGGCGGAGAATTATTTTATTCTGCGTAATCAAATTAGAAAGTTGGACTACTCTAGTAGCAACAGTTGCACAATTGTCGGTACTCAACAACCTGCCGACATCTCATGATTAACTGAACTGTACAGTGAAGTACGCGCTCTCAGAGCCACATTTACTTTTTCGTGTATGTTCCCGAGCTCTCCCGCTACAAAATAATGTTTACTTTAATTTTTTGTGTTGAAAATGGAATGTCTGAGTCATTTCCCGACATGTATGTTAGAAAAGTAAACAAGAGTCGAATTATGGAATTTCGGGACAGAAGTTCAAGCAAACTCCATATAATTAACATGCCAGCAAACATGCAAGTAGATATAAACATGTGCACATAACATGCCATTTCTCCTACTGTTTCCTTCGGGTAGGGGCCTTTTGGAAAGCCAACTTCTTTTGTAACAAGAAAACGTAGGAAATGAAACTTACGGAGAAAAGTGCATAATTATTTTATTCAATGCCGAAGTTTAACTTTTATTTTGATATCTTTTAATCCTGCTTTGTGATTAGAGTTGAATAAGATACATAATAAATGTTGATAATTCATATAGTGAAATCAACACATTATTTTATAAAATATAATGTACTTTGTCATTCAACTATGTAAATTATGACTATTTATACATGATGGGAAAAAACATTAAAATACGATAAATCATCACCTGCCCCTAAAAATGCGATAACTACATGACCTGCGCAAAATGATAATTTTGGTGGACTGCTTTCAAGATTATGTATAATCAGAACTCTTGTATGATGCAGTTTTTTTTCTGGTGAAAGAGATATTCCTCACTTATCATAGGAAACAGGTTTCTCTTTAAACTTGTACTTCCTTTTCCTTCATCTAAAATAACCTCAAGCTCTTACGAACGTGTAAACTATAAAACACATATCGACCACATACGCCTCCAAAGATGCCAGTCCATATTTCTTCATAATTTGCGGCAAAATACTTCAGAAATAGTTTATAAATGAAAATGGAAAATGGCCAATAGCATTGGGATAGAATCACCGTAGAAAAATAAAGACAATTTTTAAAAAAGGAGAAAGTTTACTTGTTTACTTATTATTGTATTAAATTATTTATATTTCTCGTAGCTCTTTAAATTTTACTTCAATAAAGCAAATACCTATAAATTATTTAATGGATACTTATATATGTTTTTAATTATGTCTTAATCTATTCTAAAGTGTCTTTTGTTTTGGGAATGTATTCACCAACATCAAGATGAGAACATTTTACTCTCCAAAAATTTAATGATTTCAAACATTTCAAAACTATAATAATGGTTTATGTGTTATTAAGAGGTCACTGACATTATACTTTCATGGTAATGAATCTTAATAAACTAAATTTTTTATAGATACTAAATTAAAATTGATAGATATAGTTGTTTGTTTGTTTTTTCTTTAAAATTTTGTGAATTTGTGGCGGAGAAAAAGCATGAAAATGTTTTCTTCACATTATATAAATTATCCAAATGAAACTTGAAGAGAAATTACAAAATATAACTCACTTTTGAGGAAACCTCCATTCTCCAATACTGTCATAATGGTTTTACTTGTGGGTGAAACAGGGTTGTAAAATAATCTTGTTCTGTTCTTAATTTTACCTTCTTTTATATGAAATTTTAAAATATGACCTATGTGACCCTGATTATCAAGTTTTACAAAAGGATAAGGTATTAAGGACAAGTTAAAAATAGTTCTTGATTAAATTTATCGTCGATGCACTAATTTAAAAAAAACTTATTAGGTTAGTCTTTGCGGATGTTTTGATAGGCTTTAAAGCATGTAAAGATAATCCTATGATTGAAAATAGTTTTACATCCATCACTCACACGTTGAAGTGTACATTTCAAAAATAGATTTGCAATCATCTGTGTTTAAATCTTTTTTATATTATATTACGGACACATTTTCCTAAAAATGAAATAATTAGTAGGCTCTCCTGCATGGAATCGATCACGCTTATCGTCGCCATATTCGATGACACTTCAAGTAAGTAGAATTTAAAATCAGAAATTCGTAATCAGAAAAAGAAGTATCTTTAAAATCAGAAATTTAGATATAATATATTCATTATTTTCTAATTTCTTCCTCAATTTCAATATTTTTTTATTATTTCTCATAACAATGATATAGAGAATATTTTTATCTACAAATTTTTAAAACACAAATATATACTTCCACCATTTTAGCAGTAACTCATACTCTAATACTTTTTCAAACCATACATTTCGTGAACTGTTCAAATAAATTTTCTGTGCTTATAGTGCTCTTCTAAAAATCCTCGTAGGATGTATAAGATTCTTCAGTCATCAGTACTTAATTTTGAGAATTATACGCTAATATAATAAACAAATTTATAATTGAACTTTCATTTCTTTTAAACTAAAGATTTTTTTCGAAGAAAGTAAATGAATTCAAATTCAATTTTTATATTGTAGAATTGGTCTTAGTATTCGTATTTTAACTTGAAAATACTTCGTAAATATTGGGATTCACTTTCGTTCCTTGCGTCTATCTGATGTTTCTACTATAAATTCATATGTGAATGACTAACAAATTCGTTATAACCAGTGTTTCATAAAGAAAGAAATTTTGCTTAAACAACTTACCTTCACGTGGCGGAGGAGAACTGAATGTGAGGGTGAAGAATAAAAAGGAAATGCATACAAGGTACTCGCATTCTATGAGACTTGATTTAATCAAGGAATCAAATAAGACAATAATTCTATTCACACAGAACTATGTACAAATAAAATTTACAAATACTCATTAATAAACTTCAATATTAATATTACAAAGAAAAGATGATTTTTCTGGTTATTTTTCGCTCGCTTTCTCAAAAGTGCGTCACGGCCATTCTTTCTTTCACACAATGTCAAGAACATGACGATAATAATATATGTACTATATTATTTGACGATAATAACAAAGAAACAACCAAAACAACACAGGGGTGACGGGCGGCAGAGGGCGAGCTGCGAGCGGCGGGCGACGGACGGGCGGGCGGACAGGCGGACGGCGGGCAAGAAGAGGGCGGGGCCAGGCGAGGCGTAGGTGAGGGAGGAGACTGGAACCGAAGAAGGATGATCAGGAGAAACAGACACGGCTGGGTTCTTTTTATCACAGACAAATAAATGCAGCGGGCTCGGGAGTGGGCGGTGGTGCCCGTAGCTCGCACCGCCCGCGCCGCTCGCGCCGCCCCCGCCCGCGCTGCCGCCCGCTCCAGGAATCAGGGCTCTACCCGAGGGGCTGCTGGAAGGGCACACGCAGCGCCCGTGGACTCGTGTGTACGGATGCACTGTGTGATTGGCTTGAAATTACATTAAATTTAACGGACAACAGCAAATATATAGAACTATATTTTGTGAATAGATAAATGGTATATTTTTTGCACTATCTTCATATGATTTGTTCATTATTTCCTGTCCAATATTTTTTTTTCTGCCAGGATCACGTGAAACCTTTTTTTTCTTCTTCTTCTTCATTTTTTAGTCTTTCCTTATGGAATTCGTGCTCCGCCCGCTCCGGGCATCGCGAGTGCGACCGTCGCAGTTGCTACCCCAACTGTCTGTCGCGGCACCGTCCCCCCCTTACCTTCGCGTCACTCCCGACGCCCACGCACCACACGCACATCGCTTAGTTCGTCTTCAGGCGGCGTTTCCCGCAGATCGCCGTTCGCCCGATCGTCTTTGCTCCTCCCCGAGCAAAGGGTCCGTCTCACTCGATGCAAAGCACACGCTAAGCATACCGCGCCGAGTTGGAGGTACTTGAAAACTGAAAGAACGCGGCGGGCGGAAGGAAAAAGTCCTGGCATGCGATGCGGATCAGCCGCTGCTTCGGTCACTGTTGGATGGAAGAGAGAGTCCCACAGGCAAAATATTGTCCCATCCGTCGTATATCATGAGCTAAGAAGAACTTAAAGCTGTCCGGAATTCACTTCGACAGTCCCACGTTTTCTTCAATTGCACATCGTGGTGGACCTTCCCCGAGTTCACTGGTTCACGCCCCGTGAGCGCCTTGGGACGCGGGCGGGCCCGCCCGGCGTCTCAGTGCGGCCAACCGTGCGCGCCGAAAGGGCGAGCGTAGACGGCTGCCGGCGGCGGAAGTTTAGCGGCGGCGGCGCGGCGGCGGACCTGTTGCTGCCGGCAGCTGCTGCTGCTGCTGCTGCTGCTGCTACTTCCGCTGCCTGGAGCACGTGCTTTCGCTGCTACTGCTGGTGCGGCAGCCGCTGCCGGGCCGGCGGCGGCCGGCGGTGGCGGGGGCCGCGCGGAGCCACTAGCAGGAAGTTCCAGAGGCTCGGCCCGGCCATCGCCCCGGCGTCGGCGCGCGCTGCGGCCAAGCCCCGCGCGCGTGGCGCGCGCCGGCCCTCCGCGGCGAGGTGGGCGGCGCCGGGCGCCGCCGCCGCCGCTGCCGTCCAGGTCGCTGCCGTCCGCGTCGCGGCCGCCGCCCCCGCCGCCCCGGCAGCAGCCGCTGCGTGACGCGCCGGCGTCGCTCGCGCTGTCCTCCGCGTCGCTCCACGCCTCCCACCTGCGCACACGCACACACACACCGCGGTCAGCACCCCTCACGCACGCAAGCCTACTTTAAAAAAAATTGCACACATAAGCCTCTCCATAAATGCTTGGCTATCCGGGAGATGTTGATGCGACCACAAACTATATTTAATTCTTGACTATCCTAGAGACGTCGCGTCGTTGGCTGAGAGGCCGACGTTTCACCTGAGATGTCGTAGGCTTCCTCAGGGCAGTGACTCACTCATCCTTCCTCACATGTCAGGCGAAGCGTCTGCCTCCTAGCCAACGACGCGGCGACTCCCGGATAGCCAAGAATTAAAAAAATATATATCGTTATATGAAGTAGCATCAACATTAGCGTCCACTATTGTATTTAACGGCGTGGTAACTGTGGAGATGACATGATTTGCTGGTGATAGGGGTGAAAGGAACAACACAAATACAATCGTGCCCGAGGCGGGACTCAAACCCGCGATCCTTCGGTCCGAGATCGCTACTGCACCACTGCCTCAACGATCTCGGCCATCCAGGCCGGCTATGCACGGTTTGAAACACACTCGGAACACAAATCTAATAAACTGTCATTTTGCAGAAGAATGGTTTTAATTTGAGCGGATTTTTCGCATCTACAGGCAAAGAATTATATTCTAAATACAGGCTGTTTTGTGAAATAGAATCATTCTGAAAAGTTTATTGGTAAGAATGCTATAGTATTCATTCTACATATTTTTCTTCAGTAAAAAATGACGGTTTCTGAGACGTATAATTTTTGGTGCGCCGACGATATACACCAATTATCGAAAATGTAGAGAACATTGCGAAAGATGAAAAGTTTTGAAACAGTGTTAGAGGAGCCACGTTCTGTTAATGTGTGAAATTTGTCCAATCGGGGAAGCGAGTCCGCTGCGATTTGCGTTCGTAAATTTGTGCTAATAATTATGATGAATATTCTCACAAAGATGTAAATCAACAAACATATTGAACAGCTTATTTCCAAAGTGTTGTATCACCATTTCCATTTGTTTTACGTTGCAATATATTGTTATGATGCATTCTAATTTTTCTGCCAAATGTTGAGTTCAAAAATTGCACGTCTCGAATATTCAAGAAGATACGAAAACCGATGAGTCCTATCTTCGACTATCAGGCTGAATACGATTTCCTTCAATTCATCAAAATGTATCTTAGAGATACATTCACTTTGGTAATAAACTTTGTAATTTCTCGCCGAAATAAGAATTGTTCAGAAAAGGAGACATGTATTGAAAATATAGTAGATAATTGTAAGAGGAGAAGTTATTGAAATTGTGAGAATATGATTGCATCCCTCTATTAGCGTGTATGCTAACTCGCATGCACCTGTGCGTATATATGGGCATATTCCTGCAAGTGTTCATGTATTGTGTAGGGCTGAGAGAAAAACATCCCCAATTTTTGTTCACATGTATTTCCCACGATAAACGAAGAATGATGAAATATACATAAGTGTTTTCAGCAAAAATATTCCTTAAATATTAGCATGTAATGTGAACAAAGCAAACTTCTCGTTACAGAATTGATTAGTCACTTTGCGAAATGAAAGAATGCCGCACATATTTTCAAAAAGTAGACATTGTGAAAGCTTTCTTTCTCTGCATTTATTTTTGATATTTCCTTCAAAATTATCTTCAAATTTGATTATATGGGAAGGTTATTGAGAAATAAATATATTAGTAGTCAGACAGACGAGAGACCGAAAAAGTATTCTACTTGCATGAGCAAATCAGCACGGATGTTCGAAATAGTATGTCTTCCAATTATTTCTTCTTTTTAACGTCACGTGTGGTCATGTTCTTTGAAATGAAAGACAATAGAAAGAATCTGGTGTAGTCGGTTATTTTTTTCGGATACATACAAATTATTGGTGGCATTGTCTTATAGCCAATTTTAGTGTAATGTTATGTGAACCGTACAAGCAGGTTATCAGGAGAGACAATGGACTACAAAGATAGTAAATGCAGTATATTGTTCTTTTTAATGGTTATGTCAAGTTGTACTGTAAATGGCAATTTTTATATTGCAATACATATTGATACTAAGTAATTGTTTGTGAGTTGAAATTTATGGGAAACATCAAACAAGGTTTACGGCACAAGGCATAGATCGAACAAACATTTCATGAAATTAAAATTAAAATTAAAAAAAAAGTTTCAATGAATTATTACTTGATAATGTGGAGATTGTTAATTATAAATATTTTTAGTACTTTCAGTTTCCGATAACTTCAATTTTTTATTGTTTAATATGACTCTAAAATAATATATTGGCACAAAGCAATAGGATGTTTATTTTAAATTATATTCATTTTCTTCCTTAAATCCATGAACTAGAAGTTAATTAAATTATTTATGCTTGATATGGTTTAACAGCTACCAATTCCAAATTATTTATGATAAATATTAATGATTCAATACGATCGAAGAAAATGTCTTGTTTGCCCAGATTTTATACGTGGTACCGAAAGATTGACATCTCCCCATTAAGACACGACTTTGGCTACAAAACCGTTTTCGTGTGGGA